GTGTTGAATACCTCCTCCTTCCACTAAATATCACCTAATTGTCTTTCGCCGTTTCGTTTGCAAAAGCTTAACACTTCTTAACCTCAATTTTTACATATGTTAAAGGAGGATAAATTTTATATAACATAACAAAAAATTAGATTGATATAATTTGATATAGTGGCGTTGCACTGCTTCAAACTTTGCTCAGCTCGGGTGCAACGCGCCATGGCGATTCGCGCAACGCGTCGCAAATCCGGCAACCGCATGTAAACAAAATTTATTGAGGTTAGTTGTAAGGTTTTTTCTCCGTTTTTCTCTCTAAACCAAAAACAAGGTAAACAGTAAAAACTGAGGGGAAACTAATTTTGAAGTTTCGAAGAAACAGAAAGACGTATGAGATGTTTTTTTTTTCAAAATTAAAAAGAAGGATGATGGTGATTGACATTAGCATAATTTCACCTTGCACGAGCTGCACGCATTTATAAAATACACGTCATCTAGTTATGAAACACGATCCGCTGTCTTTTAGTTTTGCCATGGATGCCATGGATGAGATTTTCTTCGTGTTTTAGACAGTACTTAGTTGTTTTTGTTTTTGGAATAACATCGACATTGGCGAGTAGTAGAGCGAAAATATAATTCAGTAGTAGAGTCATGGAAGTAATAAAAGAAACACTTTGAAAGAGATGTTTGTCTACTCTAACTAAACCTCCCGCAAAAAATAGCAACATTTGCCTCTCGGAGACAGCGTACCAGCACAAAGGAAGGAGGAAGAAGTGCAAGAAAACAAATCAAGCCACTATAATTCAGTGACAGCGGCAGTGTCTAACGGACTAACCACATCGCAAGCCCTGACCGAAGTCGAAAACAAGCGACATTTCTAAGCAGAGTCCCAGTCCACTGCATCACACCTTTTTGCTCGGACGCGCTCGTTTCATCGCCCAACCTTTATCCGCCCTGTTCAGGAGTAAATTGAAAAACCGTGGGAATGTAAGGAAAGCAAGAATACGCCAAACATATTGCTCGATGGATCTTATCTACTTTTTGAGGAGTATTTGGAAGAAAAAACCTGTGTTTGCATCCTGAAACTGTGTCAAAAAAGGCCAACGTATACAAGCTTGTTAAAAATATTTGAATGAATAACTCCCAACTACAATTTCTTACCAACAGCGAGAGCTGATTTTTATTTCAAAGTAATTTTAAAACTGTGTTTAACTTTTAAATGCACGACCACATCATCTCTGCTGTAATTTTATCGTGTTTAAATAAATGTTGTTGTTGTTGTTACTGAAAGCGGCTTTTGTAGGATGTGAAGAATTATGCAGATCTCGGAGGACTTTATTCACTTCGGCCTTCAGCTTCTGTGGATAACATCCTCCTCGATCTGAATAATCTGCTTCAGCTCCTACAAAAGCCGAATTCAATATATATAATTGCTAAAGTAATTGTTTTTTATTCATTCAAATTACTTTAAAATTAAAAACACGTATACCTCGATTTATGAAAAGTTCGCAATCCGGCCGTCGTCATAAAATTTAATTGCCTGTTTCTTGGCAGTCTTAGGATATAAAGGGGTGTCATGATCAGTCTAGCACCTGTCACCCATCACCCATCACCTGTCACCTGTCACCGGTCGAGTGATATATTTGTTAACCTTGCTAAGTATGTTTTTTGGCAGTAGTTTGGCTATGTCTTCTTTGTATAGCGCCGGTGTGAAATCTGCCGCCGTTTTTTTAGCTCTGCATAAACAGCCTAGCTAAGCTAGCGGGCCTTCTGCTGTCTGACTGTTTCTGTCAATTATCCCTATAAGTGACTCATCTTTCAGGAAATCAGGAAAGGCTAGCTGGTTATTGAGAATCAGCCGGAAGATTTAAACCCAAACGGAGAATCACATATTGAGTGAAAAATTATCATTATCATCATCATCATGAGAGAGAGCCACTTTAATTAAGTTCCCGTAAAACAGACTCAAAAGTTTAGCTGAGAAGTGGTTTATTGGGTTGTTTACAAATTCGTATATTAAAAAATAACGAACTAATCAAAAAATGTAGGGCGTGAAAAGTAGTATACTATATTGAAACTTAACCTCGTTGGCGCGTTCCCTTTGCGTTCCGTGTGCATTCCCTTAATTAATAGGCATAAGGGTCGAGTCTATGACGTCACCCATTGTTTTATCCTAGAGAAAAAGATACGTTCCTCCATATTAATTAAGTGCCTAGTCAGTGTCTTCCTGCATACTAATTCGGTATAGGTTTACTAATGAGCGTCTCTCTACTTCAATAGGTACAGTAGGCTTGCCTAGATTTGCCCGGTCTCTTTTAACCCTGATTGGCTCATGTAGAATCTATAAAGTCTTCAAAATAAAAGCGGGCTCTCCGTTCAGCATTTTATCCTTGCAAGTCAGTTTGCTAAGGAAAAAAGTCTTACTATCACCAATGTTTTTTAAAACATCGCTTCAAACATGCAAGTCGAATCAAGCGCTTTACCTCTGCTGACCGAAGATAAAGAGAGTCAGTAGTTAATACATCAGGGTCTTATATTGAGTGATCCTCGAAATGGCCGGGAAGATAAAGGATTTGTATGGGAAGTTTAGATTCAGGTAATAGATTCAAGAAGATAAACACTCGCTAGAATTAGCCTGCGCGCAGACCCTATAAACCCTGTATCCACACTATATGCGATACGTGGGCGGCTGCACAGCAGGCTTGCTAGAATAACCTTACCTTATGTACTGTGTGATTATTTTTAAGTAAATAAGGTAGGTGCATTTTATCGAAAATCTATTACCTGAATTCCCATACAAATTATTTATCTCCACAGCCTTTTTGAGGATTACGTTCAATATGAGGCTACACGCATTAATGATAAAACTCTCATATTGAACTTGGACCGCCTGTGCTTGATCTAGCCTGGCCTCCAGCGACTCTTCCGTCCCCCTCCCCTTAAAATAATACGTTTTATTACATAAATTTTGACGCTTAAAAGAAATGAAATAACTCCGAGTAACTGATTATTACTCAAGAAATGGAAGCAAAAAAGAGCAGCTATAGTGTAGTGGTTTTAAATCAGGAAACTTCAGCCTTGTCGCGCATCGAAGCCTAAGCAACTCCTGCAGTAGCAGTTTGTGCATAGCATAGAAACTCTGTCTGGAAAACAAGTAATGTCCTCGGTTTAACAAAGAGTTGAAATTTGAATTAGGAGAGAAGAATGCTAGTCAGTTTTATCATCATTATTATGTATCAGAACTTCTTTTAATTTGCAAGCTTTAATTTAGGAAGATCATCAATACATTTTTTTATTAAAGCGTAGATAAAGGTTGGCTTATACACTACATTTTAACCTCATTAAGCGGAAACCTCTCCTAACTACAAATGGTTTTGCTCAAAAAGTTTCACACGAAAGTTAGTTACATAATTATTATGTTGGGATTATATCCCAGTAGCCCCAAGTTAGATATCCGTTAATTTTTGTTCCAGTTATTATTTAGTAGGTCATTTAAAGTTTACGTTGTTCGAAATCTTGCCCCTACCGTAGTTGCATCTTTTGCTTCAAGACCAACGATTAACAAGAATTGGCGACATTATTTAAAAAAACGTTCTCAGTAAACTGTGCCAAGCAGAAAAAATTATGCATACAACTCTAACTTCTTTTGCAAGAAAAGTTAATGTGTAACAACTTTGTTTTGTGTATCTCCTTGAATATTTTTACATGGCTTTATTTTTTTCCTTTTTCTCTCTTTTCTAGATTTATATACTTCTGGTGATTATCATCGTGACTCCAAAGCCTTTTTATTTTCATTGGTTAACAGCCCAGGATGGGCACCTCTTAAACTGCCTCAGACAGGGGAAAGGAATAATTATAGGGGTTCCATACGTGGTCACTCAGGATTGGGACCTACATTCGGAGGCGGATATGACATTTCCATTTATGACAACGCACCATCCAATAGTTATACTTACAGCAACCTTGGCTGGACCTACAGTCCACCGAGCGTTTACAGCTACGGCAGCACATTCGCCCAAACATTCCTGGCAGGAACTTACAGGTTCACACCTGACGAAGTAGAAACTTTTTACGAAACAACATGAACATATAGTAAATGACATTCACTTAACTATTTGAGCTGGGCGGAGTTAAAACTTCATAACTAAAATAATCACTAAACTGATATATGCTGTTCTGACAAGCATAGACACTTCCCTGCTGCCTCAGAAACAAGGCCATGGAAAATTAGATTAGATGAAGTAGCCCATAATCATGTAATCTACTGATCACTGATCGTAATAATAGAGAGCTGCAATATTAAGTGCAAAGACTGTCCTTTGCTTGCAGCATTGTTCAAACTAGAGGAGTTTATATGCCACGATGTCACCAAGTAACTTCCCTGGAAAGTTATTTCACTTTAGGTGAAAAAACCTGATGAAACGTTATGATTAGCAACTAAAAGGCTAAGCATGATATGAAGAATCACGCAGATGTAAGAGGGTGGTACTGGATAACACACTCTGAGATCTGCATAATTCTTTTTATTAATCATTAAAATATTTCACCCGCAGTTTCTGATTGGCTCAAAGACCCCGGCTAATTCTTCGTAACCAACTGGCTTTGACCAAATTTGGAATATGCGCGCAATAAACCATTGATTCGATCGACGGTATATTGACTTGGAAATGAGGTTGATCGATGGTATATTGATTTAGAAATAAGGTTGTATGGGCAATAGACCATTGATCAACCTCGTTTCCAGGGGCGGCGGCCCAGCTGTGTTTATTCACGAGTGAGCTAGGAAACGGAAGGAATGGATCGAAAGCAGGAAAATATACATATTGCTCGATGAATGTTATCTATTTTTTGAGGATTATCTGCAAGAAAAAAAACTGTGTTTATATCCTGAAACTGTGCCGAAATTAGGCCAGAGTTTAGAAGACAGTCTAGCAGGAGGTGGGCTTGTTAAGAACTTTAAAATATTTTGAAAGAATGATAAAACAATTATTGAATTCGGCTTTCGTATGATGTGAGGAATTATGCAGATCTCGAAGGACGTTATCCACCTCGGCCTTCAGCTCGATGGATAACATCCTCCTCGATCTGCATAATTCACATCCTACAAAAGCCGAATTCATAATTGCTAAATATCATACGAAAGTAATCGTTTAATTATTCATTCAAATTACTTTTACCCCTCGATTTATGAAAAGTTCGCAATCCCGTCGTTAAAACATTTGCCTGTTCCTCTGCAGTTTTAGGATATTAAGGGATGTCATGATCAGTCTTGCAAATATCATGGTTCTACAATTAGCAGTTGTCATCCGTCGAGTGATATTTTTGATAACCTTGCTAAGATTTTGAGAAGTAGCTGAGTTTGGATATGTCTTCTTTGCACAGCGCGTAAAATCTGCTGCCGTTTTTTAGCTCTGCCAAAACACTAAGCTAAGCTAGGGGCCTTCTGCTGCTGTGTAGGGCTGTTTCTCCCAATTATCCGTAAAAGCGACTCACCTTTTAAGAAATCGGGAAATGCTAGCTGATTATTGAGAATTAGCCGGGCGATTTAAACCCAAACGGAAAATTATGAATGAAAAATTTATCATTATCATGAGAGAGAGCCACTTTTGCTCAATTATAACTAAGTTAACCTAAAACGAAGACTTAAAAGTTTCGCATAGAGGTGCTTCATTGTTTACCATTCGGCTATTAAAAAATAATGAACTAATTAAAAGTTGTAGTCCACAAAAATTCTTGTTTTTTGAAACCCCCGTTCTATTAAGAAGAGAGATAAAGTAGTGCTGAACATCTTCTGTTCCCTTGAGATTTTGTGAATTGGCTTTAAAATTTGCCTCGAAAATGAAATGTTTATCACTAAACATTCTGCAGTTAAAAAAACCTTAGTTTTAAAGGTTTTTTTTTTAACTGGATCTAAGGTGCTCCGTGACGTCCGTGTGTTCATTTAGCCCTTGCAAAATTGAAGTTAATGCCGGATAACCATACAGATCTACTTTAACCATTAATCAGGGACGAACCAAACGAAGTTCTTAGGCCTAAGCTGAACGTCGTACTTCGTTTGGTTCGTCATTCCTCGCTAACGTTAAGGTCTTTAGCGAAATAATATACAACTATCCCCCGAAGGGGAGGCGAATAGTACGCGTAATTGGCAATATTAACCCAATGAACTAGACAGCCTTGAAACAGGATCTTTAACGGAAACGCCCGTGTGTTCATTTAGAGCTTGCGGGTTTCAGTTTCATTTCACTAGCCAGGAGAGGGCTCCAATTCCAGGTATAGTCACTGTCACCATAATTGGAATTCAGGCTTGAGTCACGACCGCTTTTGTACCACCATGCTCCCTTGTAACCTACAGCACAGTTACCACCACTTTCGTCATTATCTCGGTCCTTTGTAGTGAAAGCCATGCCATTATGATTAGCCAGTTGATCCGTAGCTGTACCAGAGTAAAACCCAACAAACAGCGTGTAGTTGGACGCCTCGTTAGTAACTGTAAAATTACTGTACTTGGCGTACTTGTTGCCATCATTTTTTATCTTAATTTCCACTCGCAGCTGACTCGGAATCTCCGTCAGTTGATGAATCTTCTCGTTTCCAAGCCAAAACTCTCCTCTGACGTCACCAAAGCCGTTTTTGTACTCGTCCCATCCCCTGTAGAATCCAACAAAGCCATTAAAGCGCTTGTGAAAGACTGTCCACCCTCCACCATCAGTCTTCATGTCACAGAACACCTCAAAACTGGTTTTGTTTGTTGGGTTTACTGCGTAAACGCCATTCTCTTTGAAACCGGCGTTCAACAGCTCGGCACAATCTCGGGCTGTAAAAATTAAAAAATAATAAAACCAATTATTTTAAGTCAATAACTATAAATAAATGAATAAATAAGTTAATAATCAAAAAATAACTTATCATATCGAGCCTCACTTTTCGGTGCTAACAATCTGAGTTGAAAGAATCAGTGCAAATGTTAGTTGGGTTATGGGACGAAGACGTTAAACTGACTTCAGGCAAGGCAGATCGGTCGGACCACTATGGACGGGGAGGTAGGGAAATAAATTTCCTATTCATAGCTGTCCAATCAGCCTTAACACTGGCCTTCAACTTTAAGTGTTACCTACATCGCTGATACTGATCTACACCAAGATCCGGCTTCCCCTCACTGCCGTTTGTCTAAGTGGTCCTTGCAAGAATTTTTCGTCATGGGAGTGAGGTAGCGTCTGGGTGAGCTTCAGTTTAATTGAGGGAAGGGTGAGGGGAAGGTCAAAACTCATTAGACAGATAAAAGGTTGATGGAAACTTTGCCATTTTTTGAATAGGACTTCCTTAACCAGCATTTTTAAGCGGAACCTTAATGGGGAGTTAAAGCTGAAAATACTGATGTGAAGCAGTTGTGTACGAGTTAAGTCGAATTGAAATCAAAACATTTTTTCAGTAAGCTAATCTCGGCTTACAAGGAAATTTTTAGACGCAGGATTTGCTTCAGAAACATGTTTTTGCCTTAGGCCCGTTTTATTCGGAATAGCGGAGCTGTCCTGGGCGAGCCAACTTTTTATACATTCCCTTACAAAACGAGGCGAATCGTTTACATGAGAAACAGAAAGTTAGCTCGGCAAGAGGAAACAGCCTAGCAAGGTCACACTTTTGTGATTGTAGGGTCATCATCCTAGCTGGGCCAACGTTCCTTCATAAAAACACTTTGGCTCGCCCAACCGAGTCAAGTCGGCCAGGGCCATCAGGGCAAGCACGCGCCGTTTAGAGCAAGCCCGAGAGGTGAACTTTTTTCTCTTATAAACGATCGCTAAAGTTGACTCGGTCAGAAGGGTGACACTCTTTCCCTGGACAACTTTTCTCCATGTAAACGGTGCCTTAGTTCGATTAAGGGGGCATTACGTTTGGTTTTTTAAATATTGAAGGGGAAATAATGATTTGGGAGGGAAATAAATTAGAAAAGGTATACACATAAACCAGTATGAGTTAGTCCGTTAATAGGATTAGACTGAGGCACCTTGTTGTGGTGGTGGACGATCTGGTAATTGTCTACCAATTTTTCACATCATATTTGAATTTTTGTTAACCCCCAAATCCAATATTTTCTAATTTTTCCGAAACTTTAAACATCCCCCGCCCTTAATTTTTGTACATTAAAAACATTCGAAAAATCATCAAAATTCTCCAAAAAAATTATTGAATTAAGGACTCCAACTAAATGGAGTCATTTTTTGATTGCACGAAATCTTGGCTAGATATTTAACGAAAAGTGTGGAAATCGACGAAAAATTATGCTTTTAACAATACTGCCCCCTTAGAGGGACAAATTAAGGGTGCCTTCCACTAACACAATCTATCCCGCTGGAAAAAGTGAACGCGGTGAAGAAAACTCCATTCACCGCGAACTCAAAAATGAGCGGCCAAAGACGCGCAAATGGGGAGAAGGAACGAAAAATCCACCAATGACTACTCGTGGGATTTTTTGAAAAAATTACGAACAGGCGCTTTCTTCATATCAACGAATTAAGTTTGCTGAATACCGCCCTCTAACGAAGGGGCTGAGAGATTTAAAGCAATTTACAACAAGGAAAAACTATGGGCTTTTTTTCCACTATCAAAATTTCTACCTGACCGATTTTCATGGGCCACCAAATGATAAAACATGAGGAAATATTGTTCTATTCTCTCCAATCTTTGAAATAATATATATTAGGTAACCTCTGTTAACGCCACCTTAAAATTATCTCTGCTTACCAGTTTTCACAGTGAGTTGTACTTCAGTCTCTACGCGAACCGTCTCACTCTGAGCAGAGCAAGTATAAACATCACTGTCTTCAGCTGTCAAGCTGTTTATCTTAAGCTGTCCGTCCTTCACCTGTGTGCGTCCCTCTGGCATATCTCCTTTGCATCTTGACCATGTTATTTTCGGAACTGGATATCCGACTGCAGAGCAGTTCAGTGTAACTGACTGTCCATGATAAAGCTCTATCTTCTTTGGTGGTTTGACAGTAAATTGAGGTACCACATTAATGATCAAAGTTGTCATGGCGTGCGAAGCGCCCATGGCATTTTTAGCCGTGCAGATGTATGTTCCTCCGTCTTTCTTCTGCAGTTTTTTTATCGTCAAGGTTTGACCTTCTACAGCGCTTCTTCCAGTTGGAAGTTGATCAAAAAGCTTTGTCCAGGAGATCACCGGAGGGGGATATCCGATGACCCCGCACTCGGGGAGACTGATATCTTTACCCATCTCAGCGTATATTGGTCCAGGGACAAGAGAAATGTCTGGAAGAGCTGTAATTGATGAACATTATAAGATTAGATTATAATTCATCTTATATTTAATTGACGTTATCGATTTGCCTTCTATAGGGATTCAATTTAATTTTTTTTTAATGCACTTATACTTCTTGGAAGAGAAGCGTGTAAAGTACTGATTGGTAGAGGGAAGGGATTAAAAATGTAGAACATGAAACATTTTTTCATCAAATCATAAATTTAGGGGCTACGTCTACTCGTAATTTATAAATCATATGGTAGAAATACACTTTTGGTTAAAACATAGTGATGAAAACAATAAAACGTTGAGTTCAGGGATAGACAGCGCTTTTTAAAACTGACTAGAGAACGGATTGATTGGAACAGACAGGGTAATAGGACGTCCTGGAACAGGCCAGTACTCCAAAAATTGGAATAGTAACTGAAGGGATTTTTAGACATCAAGGAAAGAAAGCGGGATCGACGATATAAATGTAGTTTTATCAATATTCGGTACAAAGACTAAGATAACTAAGTATGAGTGTACTGTAAACGTTCTGTCATAGAAGAGTGCATTTTATTGGACAAATTATTGCTGTTTATTATTTTACCTCGGACATAAAGTGTGACAGCTGCCTGAGCGGTTCCTTGGTCTGTAGTTATTGTACAGACGTACATCCCATTATCACTATTGATCACATTCTTTATATACAGTATTCCTTTGACGATGGCATATCTTCCAACGGGGAGAGATCCATCTTTTTTAGTCCATGAGATTGTTGCAACAACGTTTTTATCCGGTGTACACTGAAATTTAGCTGACTCGTTTAAAGCGACAATCAAAACAGCCGGTTTGACCAAAATCCCAGGAGCCTTAATGACGTCCACTGATTGGTTCACAACTGGCTGCAGGGAAGTTGGAATCGATGAATTTGATTCTCCAGGGTCCCCTCTTTGTCCCTTCAATCCAGGGGGCCCCTGAGGTCCTTGAGATCCTTGAGGTCCTCGGGGTCCTGCAGGTCCTTGAGGTCCCGGTGGTCCTTGAAGTCCCGGGGGACCCCGAGGTCCCCGAGATCCCTTCACACATATTTGGCGTCCTTTCTTGGTGCAGACTTTACGTGTTGCAGAGTTGACAGCTTTAGTGATTTGTTTTTGTATCGCTGGAGTCAGAGAACTGTTGTTTTTGTCCGGTGGCTTCACGGCTCGAGCGCTTCGATGTCGTTTTACATCTGGAGACAAATTTGAGTCAATATTCAGGGAAAGAATATCTGAAACAAAAAAAGTGGTCATAGTGTCAGGATAACGGCGCGCTTGAGGGAATTAGGATATGGTTATTTATTCACTATTAGGAGGGTCTTAATGGGGGAGTGTCTGTTACGGCTAACGGTTAATTATTTCCCGTTACAGTTAACTGATATCTGTTAAAAATTAATTACAATTATTATTCATTCAAAATATTTCGCCAATTCTGATTGGCTAAAAGCACACGCATAATTCACCATAACCAGTTACTGATGACCAAATTTAGAAGAATTTTGACTTTAACGAGGAAATGACGTCAAAAATGCAGCGTTCTTATAGGTTAAGGCACCGTGGGAACGAGGCTGAGTTGTTTTGGTTGTGAAAATAAAAATGGCGGACACTTCACTCGTTTCAAGAGTAAAAACTACAGCTGGTACTAGGCGTAATAATAGCAAAAAACATAGCAAAAACAGCAAGAAGACAACTCGGAGGGCGACATCTGCTATTTGGAGAATATTTGCGGAGCTGGACAAACCTAAAAGTAAACTATTGAAGATAAACTTAACATCGATGCAGGTAAGCTTGTTTTAGCTATGTTTTTAAGCTAGGAATTATTTTCAATGAATAATAAAACAATTATTGAATTCGGCTTCCGTATCATTCATTAATTGTTAATTGATTTAAAAAGTTAAAATTAATTTTCATTGTTGTAAGAAATTTTAAGTTTCAGGAACATTCTGGTCTATATCTTCATACAAAACAAATAAAACAAGAAAGTATATTTACTCGTATTTGTTAAAGTGTAATAAATGTACCCGTTGAAACATTTAAGGCAACATCCATACTGTGTGAATAACAGTTCTTCAGTTTACCTTAATGTCGTGGCTTACCGTTGTTGTTTCTTTTTCTTTTTTAATTTTTTTTAAATGAACACTAGTTAGCAGCACAAAGCAACGCGAGAATCTTGTTTTAATCATTAATTTCAGTTGGGACTCACGGATTTAAAGTTCAATCCGCGAGCCCCAAAATTAAACATTGCAAATTTTGTAACGCGGGATTACAGTCATATCCTGCATGTATATTTTGTGGGTGTTTCAGTTTGCTGTTCACACCCGTACAAGAACGTGATTTTGTCTTAATCATTACGCATAGAGTTAGTTCCTTAGCTCCATCTTGTTATACTCAGTGATGAAGTCTGTGTGATCAGACGAAACCGGTAGAAACTAGGAGAAATACGTCAAGTTAACTCCTGTTGCTTCGTGCTGCTCACTAGTGTTTTTATAGACTAGTAAAATCATCAGATTCAAGATTTATTAAGTCTTCAGACGAGACCTTGGAAATTTATTTGTATGGCCATAATTTTTTACGGTTAACGTATTTTAGGGCTAACGGTTAATTTTATTCAATTTTCACGCCAAACAGCTCCTAACGGCTAACGGTTAACTCCATTGAGACCCTCTATTAGCTTATCAGTATTTAGTTTTGTGGCCTGTTAATAGAGAGATTAAGATTCAAATTTACGCCAAACGGCAAACGTCAGATTCAAGTTGAGAATTTCTCAGAATAGAAAATAAGCAGATAAAAACTGTCCAGAACAATTCTTATGATTGCATAAACAGGCGTGAAACTACTCGAATGAATGATAACTTATTCAAACACGGTTAAAAACATCAGTCTAACATAGAAAATTAACTAAAAAATTCTCAAAAATTGTTTAACATATTTGCCGTGTGGGAGTACTGATCAGAAAACCATCTATGGGAACTTAGAGACTTAAGGAATTTGATGTACGTATTTCCTCAGGAAGATTGTTCCATAGAAGAGCGCCATTGTAACTGAAGCTACGCTTCAGGTGATCAGTTCTTGGTTTCGGGAGCATCAATTTTTTCTTCGCGTTGCGAAAATAATAATTCGGTGTTCTTGGGGCTAACAAATTACAGAGATAAGCTGGGGCTAGCCTCCCCGTAGACGTCCTTTGGGGTTTGTTTGTCACGCATTCATTTCTCCTCCACGGACGTCTGCTAAACACAGCCGACATTTACGTTCTGGATTGTTTGAATAAGCCATTTAATAAGCGGTTAGTTATTGTGTCACGATCAGCCAATCACGGATTGTGATATATGTGAAACGGCACCTACGAATTATTTCTCGCTTTTTTAGAGGAGTATTTCTTCCATGCCTATGCATGGATGACTGTTTTCTTTGCATCGACATTACAAGGCTCATCAAACGTGCTCTGGACGTTGACGTGTCTTTGTATTCTTCAAGTGAATTATTTATTTGCACAGCTATCTTCTACCTGAGACGACTCAAACGTTTTGAAAAAATCACAGAAATGATGCAATAAAGCTGTAGTCAGCTGTATAGTTTTTTCGGAAGTTGTAAGTATAAAATAATCTGCTTTTCTTTGAAAGACTTCAGACAACAGTCTCCCACACGAGCGCAGAGCGGTTTTCAGCGCAGTCGAAAACAATAATTACTACTAATTCTGTATATATTCGAAGTATTAAGAAAAGAGAACTTGTAAACGTGTATAGGGAAGGTTTTCAAAGCATTCTTCGAAAACAGGCCGTTTCCTTTTTTGCGAAATGTAATTCCACGAAGGTCATGGGTCGCGGACCAAGGACCATAACGCGAAATTTGGTTATATTTTTTCAAGAGTCAGTAAAATGGTATAATTACCCATTTTAAACCGATATTTACTCTAAAAAAGGCCACCTAGAATTTTCGGGAGCCTTTTGCTGGCTGAAATTTTCGAAAAGGTAAGTTTTGATCCCTGTAATTTTCGGATCACTAGACTTTCCACTAAGGTTGGTAACGTTACCTTGCATATAGGGGCACGTTACATATAGGGGCAGTTTACATATAGGGGCGAGATATCAGTCACAAGTGCGTGAATGAAAGGAGTTATGTCACGCTAATTGCCATCTTTTAAAAAAGGGTAAAACTTGTCGTCACATCAGTTGAATTCCAAAAATAATTTTCCAGTTCTTTTATTTATGACTATATTTAGGCGCATTGAAACTGATTTCTGTTGTTTTTTGCTACGGACCCCAAGGGATGGACGTATTGAAAATTTTAAAAGGCTGGGCCTTTTATTTTTTGCGAGGTTTAGACATTCCTGTTAAAATCACCAAAAAAAATGATTATGCTTACTTCTTCCTCATTAAATGTCTTTGCTATCTTTTTCATAATTCAACAGGAAAATGATGTCTCAAAGTACTAAGAGTAAAGGCTTCAGTGCAGAATTGACCTTGAAAACATTTTAGCCTTTAAAACGGGGATTTCATTTCAATTTTTTT